GCAGCGCAGAGCTATACACATGTAAGTATCCATATAGAAATAAATACAAGCACAGTCCATACCATGGTGCCGTGACCACCCCATCTAACATTTTTGTTTTGTCACTGTTGTGTGCAGCCACCTGACATTGAAGCTTATGTTCTGCCAAGGCTAGAGATGAGGTTTGAAACTTTTGAAGAAACTAGGAACTTCTACAACGTATATGCGAAGCACGCTGGTTTTGCTGTCGGGGAAGGCCCCAAGTTTAAGACCAGAGCCTACCTTTATTGCACGTGCCATGGAGTTTATGAATCAAAGGTGTCTGGAGCAAATAGACAGTGTAACAAGATGACAGCCAGAACTAACTGCGGGGCTAAAATGAGGCTGGAGAAGGAAAAGGATGGAACATTTGTCGTAAAAGAGATAGTCTGGGAACACAACCACAGGCTACAGCTCACCACAGAAATGCTTGTCTTCTTGCACTCCCACAAAAACTTTGACAAAACAATCTTGGAGTACGTCAAGTACGTGCAGTTCAAAGGCATTGAACACGCGCAAATCATGAGCATTCTCGGCGGTGATGACCCTGGTAGCTACTTCCTCGAAATGAATGCCAAAGACCTGATTAACCTGTAAGTACAAACTTGTTCTCGTCCCATAAACCGCCTACATCTTTTTTCCTCTGTCAGTACAAACCTATCAAGCAACGCATGACCTGACGCCAGTTCAACATGCATTTTTCAATGAACTTTTTATATGCAGGAAAGCAAAGAATTCAAGGATTGATGATGTGGATGATGTCCTAAAGACTGTCAACTTCTTTAGGGAGATGAAAGCTATAAACAGGGTATTCTTCTGTGACATGCAACTCGATGAGTCCGACAGAGTTAAGAACATATTCTGGGCGAACGCAAGCTGCCGAGGAGCGTATCAGGACTTCGGGGACTGCGTAACGTTTGACACAACATACAAGACCAACAAGTACCATATGCCACTTGGGGTGTTTGTCGGAACTAACAACCACTTATAGACTACATTCTTTGGTTTTGCCCTGATAAGAGATGAGGATGCAGATTCATTCAAGTGGCTGTTCAGGACATTTTTAAGGTGCATGAGAAGGAAGGCTCCTACATGCATTCTCACAGGTACACCCGCTAAAACCACCCCCAACCACCACCCCCCTACCAAAAAAGAAAAGGAAAATAACACAGTAAAAATGTTGTGTTAGTTGTATTGGTATATATGCACAACCATCTGCTGACCACTCCGAGTCTATTTTCTCATTACCACACCAGTGCCAGGCAATGGCTTTGGCGATCGCAGATGTTTTCAAGAACACAGTACATAAGCTATGCCGCTGGCACATTATGAAGATGTACAGGGAACACCTCGCGTACCTGTATTTCCTGCATGAGGAACTTAAGGATGAATTCACATCAATTCTCAACTGGCCCCTCATGCCAATTGAGTTTGAGGATGCCTAGAAAAGACTCATGGATAAGTACAACCTCCATGATGATGCCACAATGGTGGGCATGTGGAACGAGCGTGAGAAATGGATATCAGCCTACTTCAAAGAAATTTTCTGCGCCAAAATGACATCCACACAGCGAAGTGAGAGCATGAACTATGTGCTCAACAAGAACTATGTAAATGAGAGACATAACCTACACCGGTTTGTCACCCAGGTAAACTCCTGCGTCAAAACCAGGAGGCAGACAGAGAACCAGGAGACAATGGGTAACCGGGTATAGCTCTATCACTTGTCGTAAGACAAAAAATTACATGCTTACTAAAGTAAAAACTTTATTAGAAGTTTTTCCTGCGAGAAAGCTAACAATTTGGTCATCATTCTTGCATCTGCAGAAGGAACAAAACACGCTGACCTTCTATGGGTTTGACACCCAGATGGCAAAGCTGTACACGCAAGCTGTGTACAGCGAGATCAGAGATAGGCTAAAACTGAGCACTCTCTTCACGGCGACAAAGACAGAAGAGCCCACAAAGTACCTAGTGTGCTACAACCACCCGCAAAAACTGTCTGTGTGGGCTCAGCACGCGTTCCAGGTGGTTGCAGACCCCGTGGGAGAAACATATGAGTGCGAGTACAGGCTATGGGACCACACAGGTGAGGACTACAAAAAAGATGTTACATACTGTACTACTTTTTTTGCAAAGTTTTTGTTCGAATGAAATGACAAAAAACATGCACCTCTTCCAAAAACAAATACAGGTCTTTTTTGCGTGCATGTCCTGTGCATGATGCAGACAATTAAGGCTGAAAGCGTTCCAGAGAAATACATACTCAGGAGATACACCAAACGCCCGAACATCCAGCCAACATTTGACAGAAATGACTTGAGGATAGTAGCGTCAAACAAGGCATCCCAATACTGCATTGAAAGCTCACTGCTGACGCTGAACATGAGGGTGCACAGAAAAAGCTTGAGAAGCCAAGAGCAAATGGCAAGGACGCGGGTCGTCATGGACAAACTTGAACAAGAACTCGACGCCATGCATTCTGCTGAAAATGGAGGTGTCACGGACAATGAAGCCATTGAGCAGGATATTGCTACAATGTTGTCTGAGATGAACCATATGGGAGCTATTGACCCGTTTGAGAACGAGAAAGAGGAGCAACAGCAACCGGAGCTTGCCCGTGTGCACACTCAAGAGCACCAACAAACTCACATGCGAGATCATGAGCTTGATGGTGCTGTAGGCGAACGACATGACAATAGCACATCCTACCAGCAGCAGCAGGAAAGGGTGATTAAACCCCCAATATTCTCAAACACAAAGGGGAGGAAGAGCAAGACGCAAGCAGCGAAAGCAGCAGCCAAAAAGCCACCACGCCCCATCAAGCGCGTGGAATTTGGCCCGGACGGCAAACCCCTCGGGGTAAGGGCATGCGGATTCTGCAACGTCGTGAGCAACCATAACTACCGCACATGCCCACTCCGCACAGATGCCACTGTAAACAAGAACAAGCAGATTGGAGCCACCCAGCTTTCTACCAATGGAGACAACACACGTAACAGCTACACTTGCCGCAAGTGTGGCGGAGCTGACAGACATAATGCCCGCACGTGCAAAGTGGGCAAGGAGGTCAGTGGAGCTAAACATAAACAGGGCAAGGTACAGAGTTCCAAGCAATCAAATGAAGACGATGAAGAAGAAGAGTTTGATGAGAATGACGGCCAATCAGACAAAGACAATGAAGATGACAGTGTCGGGGGCGAGGAAACTAAAACTGACGATGAAGCTGCCAAGGCTCAACTTGGAAAGAGCGCCGGCAAGGCACAACATTCGGGGACAATTAGGAGAAGCTCAAGACTGAACAATACATAGTGGTTATCCTGCTGCGTCAACTAAAAAATAACCTTGTAGTCTCAGTTGAATCAACACACAATGAGGAAGCATTTCACAAAACACTGTCGTTTACCAAAACTTATTTAGCTTTATCGTCAATTTCTCGATCAGAACTAAAGTTATTTTTTAGTTTCTGATTTGTGCCCACTGGAGCAGTGACATTATTATGTAAACCATTTGATAATCATTTTGAATGCAGTCACAAAATACGTTTGAAAAAACTTATCTGGATATATCCGATGCAAAAGGCTACTGTGAACCAGTAACTCAGGAAAAAAATATGTCAAGGAAAATTTTAAACTCTTGTAGCATATCAGTACTGATAACTCTCAGTCGTCAGTACAAGGCAGAGTACACATCAGTACTGATATAATTTCTGATTTGTGCCCGCTGAAGCAGTGACATTATTATTTAAACCATTTGATAATCCTTTTGAATGCAGTCAAAAATAAAATTGAAAAAACTTATCTTGATATATCTGATGCAAAACGCTACTGTCAACCAGTAACTCAGCAAAAAAAATGTCAAGGAAAAATTTAAACTCTTGTATTACATCAGTACTGATAACTCTCAGTCGGCAGTACAATAGGCATAGTAATAACAAACACACTAGTGAACGACTAGAAAAAAATCGTTTTGAAAAAACAAAGCTATGTCTGCTCCTACCAGTCCCAATTCAAAAAGACCATCAGTACATAAAAATAATTACCTCAAGCAAAATGCGAATATAATACATCCTGTACTGATGAAAATCTAATTTATCTGTAAAAAATACTCACAGGTTATCTTGATATAAACAATCCTTTAAAAAATACGAAAATTGTTTTAAAAAAACATTAGCACCACACATAGTATCGCTGGTATTTGGTACGTTCAATTACACTTCAATCACCAGTCCGAGTACGATAGTAGAGGAGTTCAGACCTCCACCAACACCGACGCTGACACGTGCAAGTGGGATAAGCAGCTGATAAGTACAGCTTGACTATACGAATCGGTGCCACAGTAAAATGCCATCATCATAACCGTAGAGACGTGCAAGTGGGGTTTTGCAGGTCATAAGTACAGCTTGACAAGACTAGTCAGTTCAACAGTAAAAACCATTTAACTTGGACGGTTAGTTCTTCCACGCCACCACCCAGGCCACCCACTGGGCGGTTGCCACGACGAAGTGCAAACGGTGACCCCCACGACCACTACACACACGCCCCCGACGAACCACCTCCCACACACCACCGTCGGCGCACTGAAAAAATACCCCATTGTCTTCCATCTCTCCCTCGTTCCCACAAACCACCATTGCCGCTTCCACTTCCACTACACACAAACCTCCAGCGTCTCTCTCCAAAGCCCACAGTCGCCGGAGGAAGGCCATGGCGGAGGAACCGTCCGCCAAGCGTCATCATGCCGAGACGTCGGACAAGAGGAGCAACCTCGTCGACATTAACGTCCCCGGCGAGAAGCGCGACTAAACCAGAACGCTCAAAGGGGTTGAGCTCCACGGCAAGGAGACGCTGGAGATCGTCTGCACCAGCGAACCAGACAAGGCCGACGAGGTGATCTCCAGGCTCTGGAGGAAGCTTAGCGGCAGGATTCGTAGGATCATCGGCGTTGATGTGCACTACACCAACGAAGATGAATCTCCCCAGATGGCGGCAGTCCTGCAGTTGTGCGTCGACGAACTCTGCTGGGTGTACCACATCGCAGCGGCCACAAAATGGTGAGCAATCCTACTCATTTGCCTTGCATATGGTTTATCTGTTTTATTAGTACTGTATCCTGAAAATTTAATCACACTTGTTTCCCAACTAGATGTACAAGTGTGGTTTGTGAAAAGTGGATGCACTACTGCATTTTCTCAAGTAGATATACTATAAATGTAGTTTTGAACCTGATACACTGGATTACTATTTGGAAAATCTTGCGGAAGATTAAATTCTGAAGCTGATCGACTAGTGTAGTTTCTGGAGTTGATACAATAGAGTAGTCTATGTACTCGATGTATTAAAAAAGATATTTCTGAACTTGATGTAGTGAAGTATTTTCTGAATTTGATGTAATGTTATTTTCGTAAGAAAATAAACTAAGGACTTGGTGAAGCACTGGTTCTGTGTTATCCTATTTCAACAAAAGTAGACTAAACTAGTACCAATGCGGAACATACAACATTGACTGAAACTATGTATAATCCAAGAAGAAGAATAACATGATGTACTTAATTTAATTTCAGAACTTTCTTTACTAGTTTTTGAAGTACATTCATCCATTGTTTATCCTACATAAACAACTACTTCATGGATTCATCACTTGTAAAACAAAACAAAAATGGATAATTCAAACATTAAAGTAATGCTAATATTCAAAATGTCTCTGCCCTTGCAGGCCCAAGCGCCTGACCGACATGCTGCAGCATGACAAGTTGTTCACATTTGCCGGTTTCAGCATTGAAAGCGACAAAGAGAAGCTGAAGTTGTCCGGTATGGAGATCAACCCCAACAAGTTCATCGACATTCAGCGCAAGTGGAGAGTTCCATACACCGGAAAAGAGTACGACTCCTTGACTGATGTTGCAGCCAGCGTCATCCACCCATTCTACAAAGGCATGAAGAACAAGATCAGCACGCAGGAAGACTACAAACTGTGGGGGACAAGCGAGCTGCCAGACAACCTCATCGAGGACGCAGGAGTAGATGCGTACGCCGCGTATAAGTCATGGTTCATGATCGACTACATCACAGATGGTTCGGAATTTGCAAAAGAGCGGGAGGCTAACAACTTCTACGACCACCCCTATTGCCCCTTTACGGGATGAAGATACATCGGAGCCTGCCTTCGTTTTACTTCCGCTTGTGCTTGCCTTTTATCTTGTTGTTTCAAATTAGTAGTTTGCTCTTGTTGGGTTGAACCAGTATGATTATGTCGTGCTTGTCATGTTGGAACAAGTTTAGTTATGTCATCAAGTACAATGTTTTGCTTATCTCATTATATAAGTTTGGTTTGGTAGCTTCGTATGTTGTTAATCCATCATTTTAAAATTGAAAAAGTAGCTTCTGAATGGAACGTTGTCGTTGCTATAAAGTACTAGTTACGATGCAACTAATCACACAACGTTGTTCCATGTCAGTACAACTCAGTACACTTGATCAGACATTACATACTTACTACAATAAAAAGTACAAAGAAGCATCAGTCCGTAAGCGCTACTATGAATGCACTATCAGTACAACTCAGTCTACACGCAAGTACCATAGTTCTGAAAATGACTCCAGAAGACACTTGAGAATAATCACAAAAGCAAACACAAAAAAGAAGGCAAAAAACTCAAATGAAAAAGATTACACTCACACAAAACTGACAAGAACTAGAACAAAAAGTATGAGTCCAAGTTACTGGAGGAGTCAAGTACTAGATTCAAACAAAACAAAAAAATTGACCGCCCAAGGTCAGGAGCAGGCCCTGACAATGCTAGATACTTGAACTCGAGCCCGTGGGCGAATCCCTAGTAATCCGCACAACGCAGGACCCGTCGACCAGGGCCCACAGGTCAAGAGAGAGAGCGAGCGCCGTGTATAAGCACTCAGGTAAGTGTTCAGAGGAGTTTGACTGGTGAGCGTCGGCTGCGCTTATAAACAGGTTCGGAGCCCCCTCGACTAGCGAGGTGGGACTAAACCCAGAGCGCACGCGCACGACGCACTGCACAGGCGCGCGGACGAGCTATCTAGGCCGGAAAACGGCCCAATAGCCTCTACATCGTCAACAAAACACCCCACCAAATAAGCCCAGCTATACAAACCAGAGGGCGGGACAAAGAAATATAATCCACAAGAAAAATGTTTGTCAATTAACCTCTACAAGAAAAAAGGAAAAAATATGATACAAAAACAATGAACCTCTAAAAAGAACAAAACTTAATAGCCTTTCTGTTAAATGTACATAATTTAAAAAACAGAATTAAATATTACTTTCAAGTTCAACTACTAAAACTAAAAAAGTTCAAAACATATAATGTTTGTCAATTATGCCAAAATTCTTATTTATATAAAAACTGACAAGTTCAACTACTAAAACTAAAATGTTCAAAACATATAATGTTTGTCAATTATGCTAAAAATCTTATTTATATAAAAACTGACAAGTTCAACTACTAAAAATCTAAAACTTCAAACATATAATGTTTGTCAATTATGCTAAATTTCTTATTTATATAAAAGCTGACAAGTTCAACTACTAAAATTCAAAAAGTTCAAATAGAATTTATTTGTCAATTCTGCTAAATTTATTATTTATATATAATCTGTCCACACCACAACGAACGATCTGCTCGTAAAATAATCTCAAACCCCCACCCCCAACCTAAGTTATAAAAAAAATCAGTTCAAACATATATACAACATCAGTACTAAAACAGCAGGATCAGTCAGGCCACTCGCACCACTGTGACATCAAATTTCAAACCCATGCGCTGTTTGAAATTACAATTCAGTTCACACAGTACTAAAACATAAGTGCAGTAAAAATGAGAATACAAAAACTATAAAGGCCTAACTTAGGTTTGTACAGATGAAAATAAAATAAGTACAAGTTTTGAGCAACAACTCCTAGGGCACTGAAAAAATGTTTTGACATACACTAGTGTATAAAGGCTTCAATAGAAAAACAATACTTAAACATCCACATGGAAAAACATCATAGATCCATACGTCACCTAAACAGTGGAAAATGCCATCATCACAACCACAGAGACGTGCAAGTAGGATTTAGCAGATTGTAAGTACAGCTTGACAAGACTAATCAGTGCACCAGTAAAAAACATTTGTCTTGGACAGTTAGTTCTTCCAGGCCACCACCCGCGCCACCCACTGGGCGGTTGCCACGACGAAGTGCAAACGGTGACCCCCACGACCACTACACACACGCCCCCGACGAACCGCCTCCCACACACCACCGTCGGTGCATTGCAAAAAATCCCATTGTCTTCCATCTCTCCCTCGTTCCCACATAGCACCATTGCCGCTTCCATTTCCACTGCACACAAACCTCCAGCGGCTCTCTCCAAAGCCCACAGTCGCCGGAGGAAGGCCATGGCGGAGGAACCATCCGCCAAGCGTCATCATGCCGAGACGTCGGACAAGAGGAGCAACCTCGTCGACATTAACGTCCCCGGCAAGAAGCGCGAGTAAACCAGAACGCTCAAAGGGGTTGAGCTCCACGGCAAGGAGACGCTGGAGATAGTCTGCACCAGCGAACCAGACAAGGCCGACGAGATGATGAGCAGGCTCAGGAAGAAGGGCGGTGGCTTGTATCCGAGCTTCATCGGAGTTGATGTGGAGTACACCGACGAGGAAAAACCTCCACAGATGGCGGCAGTCCTGCAGTTGTGCGTCGAGGAACTCTGCTTGGTGTACCACATCGCAACAGCCACAAAATGGTAACCCATACTACTGTTCATTCATCTCTTGTACCAGTACTAGTCACTAAAAACTTAATTAAAAATTGTTTCCCAACTAGATGAACTACTATAGTCTATGAAGTGGATACACGATTACATGTTTATCAAGTTAAATGCATTTCTGAAACTGTGAAGTGGATTGTTTCACCAGATTAGCATCTGAAAAAAGTTTATAGCATTCTGAACTTTATGCACCAAAGTAATTTCTGAACTTGATGAACTAGCATAGATTATGATCTTGATGCACTAGTATAGTTTATAGAATTGATGTATTAAAAGATCTTTGCTGAAGTGGTATAGGTCCATATCTTGATGCACATGTTTCTCAAACTAATTTTTGAACTTGATTTAGAATTAATGCACAAAGATGTATCAAGCACTGGTATAGGTCTTTTATTCAACAAAAAAGAAAACTAAACTTGAATCAAGCAGCGCATCTATCATTGACTCTGGTAAAATGATTCTCTAATTTGGTGAAGCATTTGGTAAAGCAAAGAAGATAGCAAAAAAGAAAAAATAACACGGTGTAGTTGAATTTAATTTCAGGACTTTGTGTACTAGTTTCTGAACTACATTCATGCATGACTCATAATATATAAGCATCTACCTCATGGATTATCACTTGTAAAACAAAAAAAGCAGAAGAATTAAATCCTCAAAAAAGAAGACTAATCTATAAATGTGTGTCTCCCCCCTTGCAGGCCCAAGCGCCTCAAAGACTTCCTGCGGGAGGAGAAATTGTACACATTTGTTGGTTTCAGCATTGGAGGTGACAAGCGGATGCTGCAGGAGTCTGGTTTGGAAATCAACCCCAACAACTTCATCGACATGCAGCGCAAGTGGAAAGATCCAAAGACCAGAAAATACTACGAATCTTTGGCCGATGTTGCAGGCGGCGTCATCCACCCATTCTACGAAGGCATGAAGAAGATGATGAACAGGGCAGACCACAAACTGTGGGGGAACAGCCTGCTGCTAGACAACCTCATCACATACGCAGGAATAGATGCGTACGCAACGTACAAGTCATGGAAGACAATCGACAACATCGTGACAGGTTGGGATATTTCAAAAGAGCAGGAGGCTGACCCCTACTACCACTGCAACTTCGCGGATGAAGATGCATGAAAGTCTGCATTTGTTATGTTGAACCAGCTACCTTATGTTGTGTGTGTCCTTAGTATTGTTGTTTCAGATTTGTAGTTTGCTTTCGTTATGTTGAACCAGCTACCTTATGCTATGTGTGTCAAGGTTTGAACAAGTTTTCCTATGTCTATCAAGTACATCGTTTGCTTATGTCGTCCAACAAGTTTGCTAGCTTCCTATTTTGTTCATCCATCATTTGAAGTTGATGTAGGTTGAAGTTGAAACTTGATGGCTGCCACGCAGCACTAGTCATGGAGAAAAAAAATAACACATGAATATGTTCGCAAAAACAAAAAAAAAGTGGCAGACTAACTAAGGACAAAAGCAAATAGTAGCCTTCGACGCAAAGTACAACTTAGACATGAACGGTAGTACTATCACGCTAAAAATCAGTTTTTAGTTTCAGACGAACACTAAAAAGACTAAGTTTCAGCCGAGGACAACATTCAGTACTAAAAAGCATCGTGGTAAAAAGTAGTTAGAAATTCACTAAGTACTGCATCAGGAAAAGCAAAGAAACACCAGTACGTATTTCCTAGTCACTAGCATCCTAGGACTGAAAAGTTCTGGTACAGTTGAACACACGGTACGTTCATTGTACAAATATATAAAAAGGAACGGGAAGCTTCAGTTCGCATTCCTTAAAACAGTGACATACTAAGAATTAACAGTGGCAATACAACTGAAATCTCAGTACAACTTAGTCTATACAGCAAGTGCTAGGATTATACCAAACATTGCCTGGAGAAGAACCACAGCCTAGAAAAAAAGAAGGCCAAAAACTAAATCTAAAAAATATAAGTTCGACAAAAGAGAAAAATCACAAGAAACACAACAAGAAGACATACTAGCATCAAACAACACAAACAATAAATAATTAATCAGAAGTACTAGCACAATTGGAATCTCAGTACAACTAAGTTTATTCGGTAAGTGCTATGATGATACCAATTAATGCATTGAGAAAGAAATAGTTTTGAACTTAATAGGAATATCTCTTAAACATAGCTAATTTAAACCAGTACTTTAACTCTTACTATGAAGTTCAACTACTAAAGTTCAAGAAGTTCAAAAAGAAATTTGGCACTAAAATTTTGAAAGCCTTACGCTGAATGAGACTTCAAATCAGTACTAACAGAACTATATCATAAGTACAAGAAAACGAGAGTACAGAAACTATAAAGGTCCAAGTTAGGATGGAATCACATAAAAATAAA